GGTTTATTAATCGTCTGATTTTAATTGTCATCTGGTCGTTTAATGTGATACTAGAATGATTATCTATAAGAAAATCGACTGTGTTTTTGTCACTGAAGTATATATACAGAACTGGTTGTTCGATATGCGAGAAATGAATTTAATTTTTTTTGGTGGAGCTATTTGTTTGTAAATACAATGATTTATATTTCTTTAAATAGTGGATTATTGGATATGTACTCAAATTGAATATTTACGTTAATTTTATAAAAAAAAATATTTATAATTGCTTATAATATAATAAGGAATAACAATAATGAACGTTATTTGTCTTTTTGAATTAGGAATAAGCTGCAACGACGAACTGGTCGACAGCCTACATATGACGTTCAAAGAGAACGCCATGTTTCTGTTGGACTTGGCCAGCACTAGCGGTGGGAGGCTGACGGGCGACGAGCCTCACTCAACATCGGGTCCGTGGACCGTAGGCGAATTCAAATGTTTGAGCAGCCTCGAAGTTCCTGCAACTTGTAAGCAACTACTGCAGCCTGACATCTGCAACGATGCACTTCTGAAGCAACTTCATGAATGTGATTCAGTAGGGGTACGTATTTATTCGTCCTAAACTTTTGGCTGACAGGATTTTTTGTTTTTATTTTTWGTATGTTTTTCTGCCATTCCAGATCTCGTCCGYGAGCGAAGATGTAATGGATGGAACCGTGACGCGGAGCTTTCAYCGTTCTGTGTCGATGGACATCGAGAAGTCACCGATGAGACGCCAAGACATGATCAATCGTCGGAAGCGGGTCAATAGTGCCATCGATCCAGGTACGTAGTTTTATTTAAAATCGTCAACGGYGGATTGTATTTTAAATACAACATAAAACCAATACTACACTTTGCCTAAACTTTTTTGATTTTACTTTCGAAAATATGTTATTTTATATTTCTAGTACATTTCAATTTAATACTGTTCAGTGTTTTCTAACACAGTACAAGGGCGTGCACTCACACACACACACACAAACAACAATTAGTTTTCTTACTTTATCTGAGTTAAAAAATATTTAATTTTTTTATTAGAGATTATATATTTTTTCCTGAGGGTATACAATCAACTATTTATTTTCTTGAGTTCTAAGTTTTTAGTTGTTTATAATAAAAATATATATTTCGATTGTATAAATATTATGTTTGCATAATATTGTTATATGGCAAGAAGCTAATATATATTATATAATAAATAGTACAAATATAAAAATGACGAGTTAATATATAAAAAATTAATGTAGTTTTGTACTGTTCTATACTATTGTACGCTTGATAGAATATGAACGCTTATAAYAGACGCAAAAAATAGCAGTAATTACAAGAAATATTCAGCTAAAGTTAATTGATTGGTATTAATATCAATAATTTGAAAATACAACTTAATTTTWWAAAAAAAAAACTGTTAAATRAATTTTTTWAAATAAACGTTTATTAATAAAATCGGTGCTATAATAATATTGTAATCTTTGTTTTTTATATTATAYGATATTTTACTATATAATATTTAATGCATTATATTTATTTGCTATATTTAGTGCAAATGATTCGGGCTCTGCCGACTTAAGACTTTAAGATACTATTAGCGAATTCACGATCGTAAAATGAAATTTATGAGGTCAATTAAAAACATATATTTATTTTGTTTGCTTATCTTCTAGACAASGGATTATCTCTTGTATGTATGCCCTCGGCGGCCCTACAGGCGCTCGTTCCTAGTGTCGAGAACACTACGGTGGTAGGTTGTTCAACCGAAGGTATAATATCGAAGAACGAAAATGGATCCGAAATAAACGTTTTCAACAGACCATCGATGGCGTTTATTGTCGAAGCACATAATTTAGCTGATCTCAAATGGGCGATGAAGCAAGCTGTGAGGAAAGCCGCGTGCCGCAGTTACGCTCTACAAGTAAGGATAAAAGTATTAATATTATGGTTTTGCCGTTTTGGTAAAGTYATGATATTTATTTTTAAAATTCACAAAAACTTTTTATATAATTAGTAGGTGTTAACTGAGAGTTTATGCTCTAATATTTTATGCATTTGCATATTTCTTCAGAAAGTAAATTGTGCGAAACTCATTAATTTGGTTTTCTTTACATACCTTATATCTATAAATATTTTAATTTTAAATAACTTATTACGAAAATCAAATTTTTATTAAAACAAAAAACTAATTTTCTTGGCACAATTCAAAGATATCAAAAATGTTTAAAACATATTTTTTTACAAGTACGTATCTATTAATAATTTATAAAATAGTATATTTTTTATTTAAATACAAATTACATATATATTATATACATATTATATTGTCTAGTAGAATAACTAGGATGTTTTCCAGAGGGAATTGTATAGGGTATTATCAATTTACCTAGAAAACAATATATCATATTCAGTTACTTTTTAAACACTTTTCAATTTCTTTTCCTAGTTTAATTTTATGATTTTATTTTATTAGGCGCTCAACTGGTTGCTGCATGAAGTGACTCGAGCTTCGTGTCTGCACGATCTCTTGTGGTGGTTCGTAATAGCGCTATCTGCTGAAGTCCGTACGGTGGACGGAACCAACGACTCCATTGAACCACGATGTCGACATCCTCTAAGCGATTTATACCTAGCTGGAGAATCCGTCAACCCATTACCACAGGTGTTCTATCAGTTTTTGCAGACTGTCTCTGACCTGATGCTGTACTTGCCCCCGGGGTCTGCGTTACAGATGATGGCTGTCCGCTGTTGGGATATTAATTTTACGGCATCCGATCACATGTTTTTGCATAGGTAACTGACAATAATAATAGATTAATATTTTGGAGTTACAATGAATTTTTTATTCCGTTTTTTCGTTCTCAAGGAGTAAAGTATTTAGTAATATTAGCAAAATATTGTCACATAGTGAAGATTATCAAGACGTTTGCGAAGACACTCAACCAGAAAATTCCTCGGTAAGCTACAATTATTATTGGTACACTTTTTCGGGAAAATAAACGTTGTTTTATTTTACTTTACAGATTGATAAATACGTTGTGTCGTCGCTCAAAGATATAACGGAAAATACAGAAATCACGACAACTAGTCGACCGGCAATGATACCAAATTTAATCGATCGAACTACTGAAACGTTTTGGGAATCTAGCGAAGATGATAAAAACAAATTCAAAACAATCATGATACAATGTAATAATCCGCTTGAAGATCCTAAAGCAYTTTACGTTCATTTTGATAATTGTCGTGATTTAAATGTAAGTATTTCTCTAACTGTTWACACAGTGGTCRTTTATTTAATTTAAAAACATTTGTATTTGAATTGTTTTTAAATAGAACAAAATATCGACGGTAGTTTTTTCGTCTGGCCAAACCATTGAACAGTTGAACAAAATACAAACAATCGATGTCGATACTCGATTTAGTGGTTGGCTTGGAGTTTACATACCTGGTAGATTACGCAGTATTAAAAACAAATACCATTTACTATAATTATTTGACATAATATCTGATATTTTCGCAGACCAAACGCACAAAGTCCTCTGCATTGAAACACGGGGAGTAGACACRTCGGTRCGCATTAGACAAATAAAAGTTCTAGGAACCGTGTCGGGAGATTCTCTTGCACATGGTCGCCAATACAGTTACTCTACCATACAACATCGGCAATGTGAAAATGAAACACTAAAAGTGTTCCGATCRATCACGTTTCAAGTAAAAAAAATTAAGATATTTACATATGAATCGTTCTAMAATTTCAATTGTTATTTTAAGGTTTTTGGGAAACTAATACAAGGAAAAGTAACGTCGATGGATTCTAGTGTTGAAGAAAGCAAAGATCTAAAAGAGCACATGGTTGGAATTTTATTTAGTCAAAGCAAATTGACCCATTTGCAAAAACAAGTAATATTTTTTAACACACAATATTGTGACCAAACACGTTTTACCGATAATATTTTAATCTTTTTTGTCTCTAGGTGTGCACTCACATAGTAGACGCTATCCAAAAGGAAGCAATCMTAATGCGTGAAGAGTGGGAAAAGTCCATTTGCAAAAACGATACTACATCAAATAATGGTACGGCTACACCAACCGACTCGTATTGTTTCGAAATGCTATCGATGGTGTCAGCTCTAAGTGGGAGCAACGTCGGTCGATCTTATCTAGCAAATCAATACGATCTGCTGTCAAATTTGTTAAGTTTGTTGCACACGGGCAGCGCCAGAGTTCAAAGACAAGTAATGACTATATGGCCGATAATATTTTCACCAAAAATATTAATATAATATAATATTAATATAATATATATATATAATATTAATATAATCTGTACATGTCGTTTAAACCAAAAATAAATAACTAAATACGTATTTGATTTCCAGGTAACGCTATTGCTCAAACGAGTTCTGCCAGAGGTATCTCCTAGCGCGTTGGCTTCGTTGACTGGATCTCGACTTCCTTCTACAGGGTTCTCAATCGTCAGTCCGCCGCCTAAAAGCTACCAGGTAGGACTGCTCGATAGTTTCTTGAGCATCATCGCGAAAGCATTGATATTGCAAGTAAAAGTGAAGAGTGCAAACGGTAGCAAAGTAGTAAATTCATTGAAGCTCCATGACGTTGATTTGGACGAAGACAATTCGTTGTGGTATCTCAAAGGGGTTTCTCACAGAAAACTCGCCGATGACATTATACAGATTTTATGGGATTTGTCAAACGTAAGCGATTGCCAAGGACTAGGGGCAAACTAAAATATTAAATAATATTTTGATATTTTTTTGTAYAGGGAAAGTTGGGCGGTAACAAAAACTGGATCGACACRACCCGAGCAGCGATTGCCGAAAACATACTGAACTTGACAAGRTTAAACAAAGAACAGAGAAGAATGGAATCGTGCATAAAGAAYCCCGTATTGTGGTTGGCACTGGCTTCACACTGTGTGTTGCACCCGGAGCACGCAGAAAGGTTATCGTCCGGTCAGTGGTCTAAATCGGAAGATTCGAAGCCAGTTCCTCCAAGAGTGAGTATAATATCTCAAGAAGGTGTTTAATATGACTGTAGGTGACAATAAAACTTCTGAACCTACATTTAGACAAGGTTTGGGACAATTTTATTATAAAATCAAGTTTAGGAATGATACAGTAAAAAAAGTATCCTATAGTTTTGCAGGTTGAAACATAAATATACTTCTTGTCCCCAGCCAGACGTCATTTAAACTAAAAACCAAACTTACTCTGTAAGGCGATCGTCAATTTTCTTGACTATGTTATTATCAATATATTATACATAAAATCAAATGAATTTTCTTCAATCTGATTCACAAGAGACAAATAATAATAAAAAGCGATTATGAATTACGTTTTTTTATTGATAAGTTGTAAAAAAGCTATGTATTATATATTTCATACAATTTAATGCAATAAACGTTTAAAATAAATTTTTAGCCACTGTGTTCGAACCATGACGATGGCGAGACTGCGGCATCCATACAATGTCTCACATGTGGAAATCTTTGTGTCGACTGTGACAGGATCTTACACTTGCACAGAAAAACCAAACATCACCAGAGACAAGTAAATACTACTATACTACTATACGTAGACAACACATATTTCATAATAGTGTTTAGCAACGACAATAATAACTGATAACTGACTAATGTTTTACTAATTCGTGCGTTGTGCAGGTGTGCAAAGAAGAAGAAGAAGCCATCAGAGTCGACTTGCACGAAGGGTGCGGACGGACCAAATTGTTTTGGCTACTTGCGCTAGCCGACAAGGCAACTTTGCAAGCGCTAGTCGAGTTTCGCGATACATCTAGCTCTTCAGACTTGTCGGCACCGGTCGCCARAGCCAACGTGTTGCAACTCGCCAGAGTTGGAGTCTGCCGGTATTGCGGTATGGTCAGCAACGACGGATTGCTTGCCATCGGTAACGTCTGCGCCAACGACGAGTGTCAAGTATAAAAAATGAATATTATCATCAGTACATGTCTTTAATTATTTGATTAATATATTTCGAGTTTCCCACACTGTGATAAAGATAAAAATTGAAGACCAACATTTATTTAATTTTAATTTTAACAGTTCATATTCGGGGTTTGAAATAAATTTTATGGATAAATTATTTTTGTATATAATTTTTCTGAAACCACTTTAATTTTATTATATTGTCATTTCTGTTCGATCACGTTGTTAAAATAAAACTTTGTACAGTTACACGCGCAGACCGGATGCCAGAGGATATTGAAATGCGGCCATTTGTGCGGTGGCATCAAAGACGAGACGAAATGTTTACCGTGTTTGCATGGATGTGCCTCTGTCGAAAATCCATCTCTCAAGCAAGACGCCGATGACATGTGTATGATTTGCTTCACGGATGCCTTGTCTGCTGCGCCGTCCATACAGGTAAACTATATAAGGCCAGAGACAATTTAAGACAATAGTCATCGRCTGTGATTGATGGAAAACCGCGCATGATGTGAAAAAATTACTATTAAAAACAACTTTATCGTTTCAGCTTATCTGCGGACACGTGTTTCACTATCAGTGTTGCAAGAGAGTTCTGATCAACAAATGGACTGGACCACGTATCACGTTCGGATTTCAACAGTGTCCTATATGCAAGGTGAGTATCGTGCGTGTGATATATATTTTTTCGGTACAACTCGTTTGATCTATCTATTTTTGTGCTCGTGATAAAGACACCAATCGAGCACGCGTGCCTTGCTGAAGTCCTGAAACCGATCAGAGAGCTGATGGCTGATGTCAAGCGAAAGGCGCTRATGCGTTTGGAATACGAAGGCGATTGTACGATGAAAAAAGATCACGCTGCCGTATATGCAATGGAAAAATACGCGTACTACGTGTGCTTCAAGTGTAAAAAAGTAAGTATATCACATCGTCAATATATAGTTTCATAATCGCGAGTCGAAGGCACAATATAATTCAAAGTAAAATTGTTTGAATAACAAATACATGATAATATAAATCAATAGCACTACTTAGGAGGATGCTTCTATAAATATTATGTTCAATACACATTTTGGTGAAACGAACTTTTAATATTATAACCACGATTTTCTACTGTCACGCGAATTATAAGTGATAATATTCACTAGGTATTAAAGAATTTTTTATTTTAAAATCACTGTTTCATCCTAACATATTATAATATGTGCATGTTTATCCRTACTTATTTATTATTACCTAATTTTTTAACACTTCCTAGTTCTATACGTATTATAAGTTTCTAAATACTAATCCCTTAAACTTTATGAAACTATTTATGAACTCAATTATTCAAATACTTACGATAATTACTGTAGAGTTCAGCTACGTGTGACTCATTATCAAWTTTTTCGGATGACCCCCAACTCATATTTCACATAATTAAAAAACATTATAATATGACTTACTGTTTTGCAACGATGCTAGTGTACGTAATATACAATAATATAATCTCACACGAACGCTATTTTAATAAATCGTGTGTTATGTTGTGTTCCTTAGGCCTACTATGGCGGAGAAGCTCGGTGCGAGCTGGACGTGGGAGGAACTGATTACGATCCTACTGAACTGGTGTGCGGCGGATGCAGCGACGTGGCTCGAGCTCAGATGTGCCCCAAACATGGTACTGACTTGCTCGAGTACAAGTGCCGTTACTGCTGTTCAGTAGCTGTGTTTTTCTGCTTCGGAACTACGCACTTTTGCAATGCTTGCCACGACGACTTCCAACGTGTCACCAACCTRCTGCCCCACGAACTGCCACCCTGTCCCGCAGGTATGCGATAATTGTTGTAATATAAATATTAAATACATAATATTATTTCAATGACTACCAAAAATATTTCCGTACTTTTCGGGTACGAAGACATGCCGCCCGAATTCATATACCTAATAGATATGAAAGTAAAAAAACAAGCATTCATATATCAATTTACATTGCCAGATTTCAGACATTCAACTGATAAAAAATCAGCGCACTCTTTTTCTCTATAATTTTTGCACTGTCTCTTCCAAAAATCGAATGTACTTCTATTTTTAAAATAATATTATTTAACGTATTCAAAATGTTTATTGATTTTCTCTTGTAATCACTGTTAACAAAATTCAAAAATTTTACCACCTTTTCCAATCTTGAATATTTATTGTATCATGATTCAAAATATGATTTTTGGAAAAATAATTTCAAAAAATGGATGAAATAAACTATAACTGGTTCAATCAGCTGAATGGTAATCACTATCTACCTACCTAGAATATCGATCGAAATGATTATTTTAAAAAAGTTTAGTCAACTATACCATATATTGATATTTTCTCTGTTTCCGCAGGTCCGAGAGCGACGGCTTTGAATTTAGACGAATGCCCACTCCACGTCATACATCCTCCAACGGGTGAAGAGTTCGCGTTGGGGTGTGGAGTGTGCCGAAACGCTCATACGTTTTAAGGAAAACTATAAGGACTCAATATCAWATTTTTATTATATTGTAACATTTATAACACTGCATCAGAACTCTGCCCGGTCCATAATTGTATCCATGTATGTAAATACCCATAGCTTTTTCTACTTTTTGATTTTATACTGCTGTTATTTTGTTCACTCTCGAGGAATACTGCGATTGTTAATTTTTCGAGTTACACTAAAATAACACTTTGACAGCAATCGATTCCTTAWATCAACTCAAATGTCGTATACGTATCTTTATTTAAAAATATAATCCGTAGCCATAGAATCAACTGAACTCACGAATATCTTTGAGGAACAGACAGGTATCATCTGGTCCTCTATTAACATTATATGGATCGGATCGAGCAGAGTTCTCGTCAATATCGCATCGTCAGTCAGAATACGTATTCATAGGCAGATTGTTAAATTATATAATTTATTCACGTTGTCAGCTTTTGCAATATTTCGATATACCTATGACGTATCATTGTGTGATTGCCATGATTATATTACTTCATAATAATGTTAACAATGTCTGTACTATAAGCGAATCTTTATATAGTTTAATTWATTATTATTAATTATTATTAATGTTCACGCGTTTATTGTAGGTAGCTAAAAYATTTTTTTAAGTGTAGTGTGTCAATGTCGAGATGATATTATTRTCCCTTTTTATAAATAATGATCATGATCATATAGAACGATATAATATTATTAGATTAAATGTACTTGCCATGTAGTTGCGTCGTGGTCATAGTATATATGCTCCATCAACCCACACGTCCACTCCAACAATCGAAATGTTAGAATCTCAGCGTTATCTTTAATACAATTTTCATCTGTTATGTTATGTTTGTCGTTCGAAATGTATTCTAATAATAWTTCRCGATGGTTTCGGTACGATTAGATAATAATATTATAAAATAGTGTTCATTAGGTAGTTTAATATTTTTTTTATTTTTTTTTTGTAAGGAGAACCCGCGGCAACATAGGCCATTGGGTGTGGGATGGTACGGTAGGGATTAATTTTGTATGTTTGTTTGTAGGTTTTTAATTGGGTAGGGTTGTAACACGTGTTTGTGTATGTGTGGCAAGGATATGTTGCTAAAAATCCCGGGTGGTCACCAATCCGGGAGCTAGCAACTGCGGCCGGTACGTACGCTCAGTGCGTTTCCGCAGATTGAGTGTACGACCGCGCCTCACCAAGCCACAGTTTAATATTTTATTTTACTGCGAAGGTATAAATTATACATTCAGATAGTGCCTATATTGGAAAGGTAATGCCTATCTGACCGAGTAGAGACCTTTTCTTGAATCTGCAGATATACATGAACTACATATTATTATTAACGAGTATTCATCGAATGCGCTAAAAATTTTGGACCACCACAAATTAAAAAGTTACACATAAATTGCGCCACAAAACAAAATTACATGATACATTTAAAATAAATAATTTTTGGAATATACCTACATTATTTTTATATAATGCCAAGATTTATGTAACGAGCAGTAAAATAAATTTCATAGATATAGTGCAATGTAAATATAAATTATAATAAATTATGTTCAACTTTAGTAAAAATAAAAATAAATTATTATACTATAAATATTATATATATATACAGGTTGTGTCTAAAGTTGTTGTTTGCTGGATTTTTCAACATTTATGGATCGATAATATGGAATTTAAAAAAAACACGAAAATACATGTTTAACTGACATTTATTGTTATTGCAATTTTTAAATTTATTTTATTTTTTTAATGTATGTTTTTTTTGAAAATATTGATAGTCAAACTATCAATTTTGGTTCGCTAGATTATTAACTACTGTCTTCTACATTTTAGTAAATTCATTTATACTTTTAATCGAAATAATTGGTATAAATTTCATTAACTAGAGCTGAATAATATTTTTTTCTTTCTTGAGATTAAAAATAATATAAGATTTTAAATAATTATTCTTATACATATATTCATTCAATTTTGAGATAAATGTCTACGGCATGCACTGTTCATTATTTTATAATTTTATATAAGCATACAATCATAAAATACGTATTGTTATTGTAAAATTAATTATTACAGACAACTTACTTTTTCTACTTTATCTTTAGTTAATTTACTAATGATAGTTTAAACTTTAATAATTAATTAGGTGACTAATTGAATATTTATGAAATTCCATACTATCAATCCATAATTATAAAA